ATACTCTGGCTGAGTATTCTCTCACTACAAGTAGCCCCATTGATTTCACTGGGGCTGCCCCCAGGGTCAAGTCCTACTCAATGCGAGGAATGGTAGCAGAACGTGGCCCCTGAATGTTGGCTGCGCACAGTCTCAGCTCCAAGGGGAACTGGTACGGTTGATCACAACAGAAGTGCCACAGCCCTGGGGCAGGGAGTGAGAAGAGGCCACTGGATGGAGGTTTAGGATGGTTACTGTAGGATATAGCACCATCTTGCCAGGAACGGCAATGTAACAGCCCTCTGTCCCGGCCCCAGGCGCTAACTGACACCAGCTGCAGTAGCAGCTTGTTGTCTGGCCAGCAGAGGTTTGTATCCCAGCGTGACACCAGCTCCATCCAAAGGTCACCTTGTCTGGGCGTCATTCTCTAGAAAGGGCCCCCAGAGTGGGAGGGTTGAAGAGGGCATGTTGACACATTCCCCATGCAGCTGGCCGTGCCCAAGTTCCTGGAACCGCAGGGGACATGGCAAAGGTTCTAGTTACTCTCTTGCAGTGGCTTTGTTTGCTCCAGGGTGCCTGAGTCACCCTGCTCCCTGCAGAGTCTCACCTGGTTCCCCTCAAGGCTACAGCTTCTGGGCCAGTTTCACCTCCCTCCCAGGTCAATACCATCAGCTTGTTTGCTCCCTGCTGGTTTGTGCCGGGTGCAATGTCTGATGTAACATCAGTAGCTCGATGGATTTCAGGGAGCTCCTTTTTCCTTCCGGCTATGAGTACAGATGAGCCTAGCCTGAGCAGTCCAGGCCTGCCTCTCCCTAAGTCTCCAGGGGTTCGAGAGAGCAGGTCAAAGTCTGGCTCTTGGTCAGGACAGCAGGGGCTTTGGTATTCAAGGCATGGGCCAGGCCCATTACTAGCTATGATCTTCCCAGCAATCGAGGTTGCTGGGGCAGACAACAATCTCCTCAGGCTTGGGATCCAGCCAGCCCCAAGCCCGTGGGCGTGGCTCCCCTAAGGTACCCTCCCCAATTGTGGCCCTTCCCCTGAGCATCTGTGTGAGCAGGAGGAGAAGCTGAGATGGCCTTAGCCCTCCATTCCTCAGGGGCCAGGCAGCCGGACACCTGTTGTGGGTTTTGAGTTCAGGTAATCACTAGAGTTTCCCCTCTGGTTTTTCCCTCCCAGTTACACACAGAGTCTAGTGATTTTCTGGAAAGTGAGTTTGGGTTGGAAGGCAATGACTGATTGATCGATTGTCCAGGGGTAAGGAACAAGGTCACAGTTGATTGCCCCCATGCCAGTGGGTTTGGTAACTTTGGCATAAAGATACAATCACGGCACAGTCAGGGTCCTGTTCTGGCCATGTCGAAATATACGGAGCTCTGATTTCATCCTCCTAGCTTCAGTCATCACCAAGTATTTCAGTGTGTCTAGCCCCCTTTGCCTGCTGATTGATTCCATGGCACCTGCGAGCCAGTCTCCCTGTGCCGAAGAATAGTAGAGCACGTGGGTTTCTATCATATGATGCAGTAACACAGGCCAAAATGCCAAACTAGCAAGCAAGGCTTTATTTCACCCCGACAACCCGCACGGCAGAAGGGAGAGACGTATTCTGTGCCTGTGCTGCAGAACAGCATGACTCGACATATGTGGTTCAAGGCTGAGGTCTCGGACTTTTGCATTTCCTGACATTTTCACGTTCAAATTTGCAAACTTGATCTCATGTTAGTGTAGACGTTTGGCATTTAAAGTCTGTAGGGCTTGATCTGCTATTGGAAGCCAACGGAAGCTTTGCCCTTTACTTTGGTGGGTTTTGGATTGGGTCCAGAGTGAGTTCCTAATGAGTAATTTCATGACACTTTAATCATAGAATCATAGGACTGGAAGGGACCTCGAGAGGTCATCTAGTCCAGTCCCCTGCACTCAAGGCAGGACTAAGTATTATCTAGACCATCCCTGACAGGTGTTTGTCTAACTTGCTCTTAAAAATCTCCAATGATGGAGATTCCACAACCTCCCTGGGTAATTTATTCCAGTGCTTAACCACCCTGACAGTTAGGAAGTTTTCCCTAATGTCCAATCTAAACCACCCTTGCTGCAAGTTAAGCCCATTGCTTCTTGTCCTATCCTCAGAGGTTAAGGAGAACAATTTTTCTCCCTACTCCTTGTAAAACCTTTTATGTACTGAAAACTGTTATCATGTCCCACCTCAGTCTTCTCTTCTCCAGTCTAAACAAACCCATTTTTTTTTCAGTCTTCCCTCACCGGTCATATTTTCTAGACCTTTAATCATTTTTGTTGCTCTTCTCTGGACTTTCTCCAATTTGTCCACCTCTTTCCTGAAATGTGGGGCCCAGAACTGGACAAAATACTCCAGTTGAGGCCTAATCAGCGCGGAGTAGAGCGGAAGAATTACTTCTCATGTCTTGCTTACAACACTCCTGCTAATACATTAGGGTTACCATATTTCAACAATCAAAAAAGAGGACAGGAGGAGCCCTGCCCTAGCCAC